GCTGTGACATATCAACAAAATGAAATCGTAACTTTGTAGAGAAAGGTCTTAGCTTCAAAATTACGGCTTATTTTTTGTGTGTTACATTTCCATTTTTGGAGTTAGAGAAGGATCTACAAGGACAATAAAAAGTTGTGGGACTAGGTGTCTTGCACTATATAATAAAAATAACTAGTTATAACAATTAAAAATAATTTCATGTATAACAATGATTGTTAAGATTGAATTTTATTCTAGATTGATTATATTTACTTATTTTAGACTAACCGTTTTGGCACGTGTCTCATCAATGTAAATCTCTCTAAATATGGTATTCGCATATTAGAACGAGGTCGTATACAAGCAAATTTTCCTATATATATTGATCTTTTTTTTTTTAAATTAAAAAAAATTTTTTTTTCTTGAAAATATTTATTTCAAATAGTTATTATAACAATATGACACCCCCAGTTACAGATATTAACAATATTGATCCTAACACTAATCCAGAACTTGATGTTATTAAGAAACATCACGGAGAAATTATCCATGAGCCCAATGGCTTTGTTAACAAGATCTATAGAAAAGATAGCCAACTTAACAGGCGTACTGTCAATACTTACATTGATATGTGGAAGGAGGATAAAAAAGATTTATCTAATAAAGTGGAAACTGTTTCAAAAAGACGTGATAATGCACAAACTATGACAAACGCGTTTTATGACATTGTAACTGATTTTTATGAATATGGCAAGTACCAAAAAAAGCATTATTATATGATGACGCGTGTCATAACTCATTTCTCTTATTATTATATCAATTAATTAATCAATCAATCAATTAATCAATCAATTAATCAATTAATCGATTAATGTCTTTGAATAATTGAAGGATGGGGTGAATCTTTTCATTTTGCGCGTGCATATAAAGGTGATACCTTTGAACAATCCATTAAACGTCATGAGCAGTTTTTATCTTTAAAACTTGGATTGGGTCCAAAACATAAAGCTATCGTAAGAAAATCCAAATCCATTTGTAACTTGGTTTTTTTTTGGAAATGCTTTGTTTTCACACCCTCTGAATCGCATTTACTAACTCACCAAATTTAATAATATCTAATTAGGATGTAGGATGTGGAGTTGGTGGTCCTCTTCGTGAAATTGTTAGATTGTCTGGTTCACATGTTACTGGGATCAACAATAATGGATATCAGATTGAAAGATGTAAAGCCTATTCCAAGAAACTCGGTTTGGAGAATCTAACTGATTTTATCAAAGTAATAAAAAGAAAATTAAATAATGTCAATGTTAATTAATTAATATCATTCACCAATCATCTATTATAATACTAATTATATTTTGTGTTTTAAGTGTGATTTTACGAATATTCCATGTGAGTTAGATAATAAATTTGATTCAGCCTATGCAATTGAAGCAACAGTTCATGCACCAAAACTTGAAATGGTTTATGGTGAAATATTTCGTGCATTGAAGCCTGGTGGTCTTTTTGCCAGTTATGAATGGGTAATCACTGATAAATATGATGAAAATAATCCTGAGCATAAGCAAGTTATTCATGGGATTGAGGTTTGTGTTAAATCAGTAAAATGAATTGCTTAATATTTTTATAATTATAATAATAATAATAATAATAATAATAATAATAATGATAATAATAATAATAATAATAATAATAATAATAATTAGTTTAATTGCAAATAAATTTATTAGAAAGGTAATTCTGTTCCAGCTTTAGGTCCTTATAGAAAAGTACTTGAAGCTGCAAAAAATGTTGGTTTTGAAATTCTTGAATATGAAGATATGGCTGTTTTGGATGATTCTCATGAACCATGGTATAACACTTTGAAAGGAAATTTCTCATTGAATGGTTTTAGAATGACTAGTATAGGAAGATGGTATTATAAATATCTTATGTACTTAATTATATACTATATTTATTTAAATGAAAGTTAAAAAATGTAAAATTTTTTTTTAGGACTACTCATAAATTTGTTATTATTCTTGAATCTTTACATATTGCACCACCAGGATCAACTGATGTTTCTCTCTTTCTTAATAATACTGCCACTGCTTTAGTTAGAGGAGGAGAACTTGAGATTTTTTCTCCAATGTTTTTTGTATTATTTAGAAAGCCTCAATAACCTCTTGTTATGTACAAATAATGTGATATTTTTGATAACTGATCAAAAAAATCTGGAAGAGAAAAAAAACAATTATTTAAAATATATTGCCAGAAGGGAAGAAAAAGAAGAAACAATTTTTTATTATAATTAATTTTTTTTAGATTTTATCATGTAATTTTTTTCAATTGTGTAGTATTATATCAATTTTTTTTATATTTGTGTAAATTTTTAATACAAGCAAATAAATTAAAGGATAAAAAACATATGGTAAATAAAGAGAATATTATTTATTGTAATATTTATTATAAAAGGCAAAGGACTATTGCATCAACTTCAAAAAATTCTAATTATATTTATTGTTCTTCTTATAAACATAATTATGCTGGTTTATGATTGAATTATTAGTTTTAGTTATAAAATCAATAGATCTAACAGTTCAGTTTCTATATTATTAACAATAACCCATATTCTAATCACTTTATTTATCCTAATAAATAACCTTTTATTACATTAATTAATAAGATTTTCGTTCCTTTTCAATTTTCTTTTCATTTTCATCATCATTAACAACAAGCTGTTTACCACCATATAGTTTCTTATCCATTTTGTTAATTTTAATTTGATCATATTGTTTTATATATGCTTCTAAACCAATGCCTATAAATACCAATGCAACAGATAACCATTGACCTAAACTTAATTTATGATTAAACCAAAATATTGATAATATGATTGTGAATAATTTTCTTGTAACGGTTATTGTCACCAGGAATAAAGATCCAAGATCTCTCAATATAAAAAATATAAAACATTGACCTAACGCTCCACATAATGAAAACAATAATATATCATACAATACTTCTGGATATAGTTGACAAAAATTCAATGCATTGATCAACTCATTATTCCCAGGTAAAAATCCCATCCATAGCAACATTAAAATTCCACTGAAAAAATTCATATAGAACATCATTTGTTGACCTGAAATTTTATATTTGTTGAAAATTTGATCTTGTGATGAATTTGTTATACCATCAATGATTAGATTGGTTGATAATAACATTATACCATATAATGATGATGGTGCTGCTGATTTTTTCTTTTCTGAAACTGGTTGAAGTAACATAAAACATGACACTCCAATTGTAATTAGAAATACTACAAAGTATTTGTATAATGGGTACTTTCTACGATACAATAGAACATTCATAAGCATAACTGGTAACAATTTACATGATTTTCCTAATATTAATGTTGGATAGTCTATATGCTTTAAACTTTCATATCCAAATGGTGATCCAATCGTTCCAAAAAATGATAGTTGCATTAGTTTTAAGTATAACTTTGATTCTGTCATTTTGATTTTTTGGTTGGTGATCAAAAGATATATAAATGCTACAAATGATGCCATGAATGATTGAATTGTATTGAGAAAAATAAAATATTTAAATTTCTGAGGTGTGTTGTCAATAACTCCATATGGTGTTGTTGATACACGTTCTTGCAATACTCCCCAAGTTAAAAAACATGAATATATTCCAACAACACTAAATGCAACCTTTAACATTGATGATGACATTCTATAGATGTTATGTATGTGTGTATATATGTGTGTGTGTATGTGTATATATATATATTGAGTAAATTATTTTGAATTTTAAATAATTAATATTAACATTAATATTAAACATTAACACGATAATTGACCATGCATGTGTTAAATTATAATTGGATGGTGATCAATTGTAAATCCGAAGATCTCTAAATGTAGAAACAAAAGCATTTTATTAGTTGCACGTGATATTAGTGGAGAAAAAAATTTATTATTTACTTCCACAATAACACCATTGGGAGCTTCATAAGCTATGATTGTTCAATGAATATTGGATTAGTTAGACTAAGAGCTGCAACACCCCATGTAAATTCATCTATTATCGGATCATTAATCATGCCAGAGAAGTATGTATGATACCAGCAATTATGGATAACTTGAAGTGAGACTTTTTCCCAGCCTTTAGTAATATATTGCATTACCTGCAATGCATTCATTTTCAAATCTTTTGTATCTTTTCCATTTTCAACATCTAGAATCCATTTAATATGCAAATGATGATAATGTCTTTTAAAAGACATAATAATAATTCCAGCATCCATTGGTTGAATCTTTAAAGTAGTATTTGGGGTGTGTGGGAAAGAAAATGTACACCAACATGCGAAAGAACCAATCTATATATTCTATGGCTTGGAAAATTATCAAGGAGCAATAATGCCTTCTGATCTCTACGTTACTGAGCAATATCTCTTGAAGCCAATCTTAAAAGACAGTTGCTAACATTCACCCATTTTCGTTGCATATTCTTTTCTAGTCAATTTGTTATTGCTAGCAAATAAACAAAATCCATATTTTTGTGAATTCAGATAAAGCAGTTTTATTTTCTGAAGATATTGGAAATAATAAAAAGATATAATGAATTTAATAATAAATTTATAGGGTTCAATATAGTGTTGTAAAAACAATTATAAAAAGAGCAACAACTGAATGGTTAAGTGATGATTTAAGTTTAATTTATTGAAATAATTAATGATAAAAAAGTTTTTTTTAGGTTTGTTAAAATGCTAACGGATTTAATTTATTAAGTATTTGATTTCATGTCTTGACCTCTTCACTTGTATACAATACAAAATTACCAATCACAAGATTTTGCCATCTGTATTCTGATTAAAAAAGAAAGAGATGTTAAACATATAATGGCCTTTTATCCATGTGTAAAGCCCCGAACAGTTTGGAGCTTTAGGCTAGTAACTATTTGACAGTCCCTGGTATTCTAATTTTTGCACTCTGGTTATTTAGAATTAAATTTATTGATTTCTAATCTAATAAACCTGTTGTAGCAACCAGTGCCCCAGTTGAACGAGGTTTTTTTCTGGAGGGCACAGATTTAATTACTCCAAGGCGTTTTAGTTTAGAACATGAAACAATAAGAGTTTGCATGTGTTTAAAAAGTTTGCGGAGACGATGAATTTTATATATGAATTGAAAAAAATAGAATGTCGTTAGGGTTTCTATTCGAATAGGTTTATTCGAATTATTTGTTTTATTCGTTATGATTTGAGTATTCGAATTACATTGAAAGTTTATTCGAATAAAACGAACAAGCGAATAAACGAGTAATTCGAATAAGAATTTTTGTATATATTACGAATAGAGACTAAACCTACAAATTTTTGTGGTACATTATGAATATGTAACGATAAAATAAATAATTCATAACTGGCCAGCTGTATCTAAACATGGTACTACGTATGAAATGGATAAAATTCAATCATGGTCTCCATTCTGATTTGGTAAGAAATGGACCTTTGCTACCATGGTATAGTTGGCTCGGTCTAAAGACCTCCTAAATTTTGTGCGACTTTTTGAACGAATCACGAAATTGCTAATTTTGAAATTTGAGCGCGTAGCGCAGCATTAGGAAGTCGCCAACCATATAAGAATTATAGACTATGTATGTATTTAGAAACAGGATTCTCTACTTTGCAACACACATTCGCCAAAACCAAGCCACAAGTTATTATAGTTTTTTTTGAAGTTACTGTCTATATTTTGCGTAGCTAACGAATTTAGAATGTCTGGAATTTTTAGGCCAAATGTAAACTAAAAACTGGGCCGAACCGTTCAGGGCCTTATCCATGTGTTAATTAAATAATCAACACAATTCTTTTTTCATCCACCTATTACTTTTAATAATTAAATAATCAACAATTCTTTATCGCTATTACTTTGTGATGATTAATTAGTCAATTCTTTATCTTACTGTTATTTAATATTCCTTCATTAATTGATGATCTGTGAATGAACGAATCGGTCAAATTTTATGTGATCGACGTCGCAAAAATCGTCAGTTGACAATGTTTAACAAACAATATATAAACAAAGCATAAACGGATCAGAAGACTAGATAAGATAAGAAAGTAAAACCTGTTCAATTTAAAATAGGAGAATAAGTCCTGTTCTCATGAAAACATACACAGAGATAAGTTCAGAGAAAAATGGTCTGGAGTATACAATATTACAGAAAAATATTTTCTGAAAACAGCAACCAGCGAAAATAGATTAAAGAAGTATTATAGAAGACCAGCCTGGGACATATTAATATGGAATCAAGAAGAAAAACAAACCACCAATTGATGAAGTCTATCATCACAAAACTATGGAATAACGCAATAATAACAAAACATTGAGTCATCAAAACATTAGAAGTTAATTAGTGAACGAAATTTTATAAAAAGACAGTGATTTGACCAAGTAGAAAAATAGCTTTCAAGTTAACAATTAAACATTAAATAAATGCCTAGAGCCCTAATCCTTCAATAATACTAATTATTAAGAAAGTCAAATGTTTTCAGCTAACCTTCTAATCTTTTGTTTAATCATAAACGATCATGAAAAATATTTTTTTTATATATGACGATTCTAACGATTTATAATTTTATCATTCAATCAATTACATGTGTTTATGCTGGGAAAATCGACCTTTGAGGGTTCCAAATCAAAATAGGGATTTTACAAAAAATGGTCATGGTTTTTTGTTATTAATATTAACAAAAATCAAACATAATAACGGATAATTATAACCGATAATAATTATGGTAATCTAGATACAAAGATCGGAAGTTACAGTAAATATACTGTTAACTTCGACCCAAAGCTTTTTTTTGTTAAGAAATTTTTTAAAAACCTCTGTTATTGTTATTATATTGTGCATCGTGATTATGTTGCTTCATACCTTTTACTTTAGCATTTTTCAAGAAATGAGCAATTGATCAATGAAAAATATCCTAAACGAGGAAAAGCCATTTGCATTTCATTAATTATTTAATGTTTCTTGGGGAAGTTTATCAATTTATATTAATCATTTAAAATTCTTTGCCCCAAAAAATGCATTGTAGCTATTTTTTCTTTTCACATTTATATTTTTGTATTTATTTATTATTACTTTTATAATGAAAGACACAAATTTTAATCCTTTATTTAAATTAATAATTTCTTTATGTTCATTAGTTCATTTTTTTCATTTTTCTCGATTTTTTCAAAGTTTTCGTTTGCGTTAACTTTTGTCGCGAAAATTCTATAATTATTAGTGCCTGTTAATAGTGTAGGAAGTATTATTTTGGAGGTACGAAGAAAAGTAGTCGTCGACAATGGTTGTGACATTGACAAAGATGGTGACAATATTGATGGAGGTTGAAGCTGGGTTGGTGGATCTGAATTATGATGATGATAGTATTGATAAGAGCATCTGGTTTGATCTTGTTGATTATTATTATTATGAGAGGGAAAATAAGATTCACTAATATTACTATTGTAATTATAATCATTATAATAATTACTATCATTTTTAAATAGTTTTGGTGGCAAAATTAATCTTAAAGGTGGTAATTGTTGCAAATTTTTGTTGGAGTTTGTACAAAGTGGCGGAAGTTTGTTTTTTAGATTAATCACTGATATCAGAAATTGATTATTACTGTTGTTTAATTTTTGTTCTAGAGATTGTCGTTGCAGCAATGAAAAAATTTGACTTTGATTTGCTGATTTATCATTACCGTTGTCGTTGGTTCCATTTGCTGTTTTGTTAGAACTGTTATTAACAGCAAGGGCAGTGATGTTACTATTAAGATCATTATTGCAATTATCAAGCGATTCTTGTTCTTGACAAGTCCTTTCTTCTTGCTTACGTTTCGCTCTTCTATTTTGAAACCTGAAGGTAACAATTTAATTAAATCATTAAATAATCTATATTTTCTCGAAAAAAACAAACAAACATTATTTTGTACCAAATATGAACGCTTTTGCTTGGCATATTTAAGTTTAATGCTATTCTCTCTCTCATGTTTGAATCGGGGAAATCATCAACATTTTGAAAATACGATTCCAAGAATTGAGATTGACTGGCCGTTGTACGATGTCTTTGTTGAAAATTATTATTTCCACATAACGATATAATTGTATTGTTATTATTATCATTCATTTTACATTGTTTTTCTTTGAATAAAAAAATAAATTGATTTAAATAAATACAAAAATTTATTTTTAACATTTATCTTTTTATTAATGATTTAAAATTTATCAAAATATTTTTTTAGAAAAATTAATTGATTTAATATTAAAGCAAATTAAATTACATTATTTATTTTTTAATTAATTTGAATTTTTGATTAATTTAATTTTATTGATATTAATAAATTAATAATATTAAATATTAATTTTTTGTTCAAGCCGTTTTGCACTATTTCAATCTTGATTGGGGATTATGGGTATACAAACAATGGTTCGCCCAATTCTTTCTCCCCTGATTCTTTTTTATGTTCTCTATATACTAAAACGTGTTACTCACTTGCATCCAATTCACCTGCTTCTACTCTTTGTTTTAGATCTGTAAGCATTTCTTAACTACATTTCCTGACAAAAAATAGGCTCTTAGAAGTTGTTTTACTTGCTCAGACATGCGTTTACTTCCACCATGCTTTCTATTAATTTTGTTTTTCACAAAGAGCCCAACACAGTTCAAAGTAATTCATTTTAAAAATTAAAAATTTGTTAATTTAACATCTAGAAAATATTCATTATATTAATTTTTTTCTCCATAATGGACCATTTGGTTAGGAAAGAATGTCCGTTATAATAATAATAATAATAATTTATACATATACATATAGTGGACTGTAGAGAGGACTTGTTTAATAATTTATATATGGACATGTAAATTGGGCTTTCCGTTATTATTATATCCATTATATATAGAGAGTGTGTGAACTGTATCTTATTCATTTTTTTAACTATAAAAACTAAAATAAAGACTAATTAGACAATCACCATGACAACTATAAAAATCCCACTGCTTCATCTTCATTCCCAGGCATCATTATATGGCGTTTTTCGTTTTGTATATTTCAATTAATGTGGATATTGCATTGTTCGTTCAACAATGCAAATTTTCATAGGGAGATAAGAAAAATATTTATTTAATATATACCTTTAGATTTTGTTTAGAGTTTCTCCTCTCCTCACTGATCCTTATTTAAAATCAATGCAGATCACTCTTAAATCCTAGAATGTGGCTATTCTTACTCCCGGCCACCAATTATGTAACTCATGTTGGAAAAACGCTATCTGCGAGAAACTTGGTCTGGAAAACCTTGCAAAGTGTGCGAAAAACCGGTGGAGAATAAAGTCAACATAGGTTACCAAAATGACGTGTGCACTAATATTTGTAAAGATGCTTGTTTAGCAATAGTTTCAGTAAATCAATTCCACCACATACCCCAAGGGGTACGACATTATATCAATGTCCAAAATTGCACTGAAGAAGAAACCGATGTAATGGAGGCTTTGGAAACCTATTATATCAAGTGTGCCATGAAATATCACTGGAAGAAGAATATAGTCAACATTACAATAACTTGGAATCATGGGAAAGTGCCTGGGGAAGAACGGCAGCTTCTTCGAATATTTTAAGATGGAATGCTCAATTGAACAAGTATAATTGGATGCAATTAACATATCATCTGAAGAAAACAGAAAAGCAATTATTAATTCCAAGACGAAGAAAAAATCTGCCGGGTAGGTCACATGATAATTCAAATTTTAATAAATTTAGAATGTGTAACAAGCAGTTGTATAAATAAATTCACTTTTGAAAAGCTACGCGCATACAAAGAGTAATAATTATAATGGTTCTGTTGAATGATTTGTCTAATTGGGCATTTGGCTTTTCAATAGAAATGAGGAAAACGTTGAAATCATGATATTGCCCTTATATGCAACTCTAAGTATAATATTTTTTGGCTTAGAGATCATACCTACTTTGCAGACCAAAATAAAGATAACAGCATTTATATAATATTCTTTATTGGGGCCACTAGCTAGTCATTAAAATTTAGACCCTGCAAATTTTTGTGGCATTATTAGTTATGATTATTATTATGTCGCAGCATGTCCCATATATAAGCGCTTGTATTAAATAAATATTTGAATAATAAGTAACTCTATATTACAAATTAAATTTACAAAGATAATAAAGAATATAGTAAAATCAAATTTAAGAATTTCTAATGGTTATTAATATTATTATTTCTGTTAATTGTAACAAAATTTAAATTTAATTCTTTATTATCCGATAGTGATACCATCAATGAAATTTAATTCATCACTGACAACATCTTTATTAAGTTCTCCAATATATTTGAATAGTTCAACTGCTTCTCTTATTCGTGAATATGTAATGCAAAATGCTTGTAACTCTATAAAATATTCATTGGGATCAATTATATTATTACGAAACAAGGATAAAAGAAATACACACACCTATAATATTATTATATATGCAAAAAAATCAAGAGTTAGAAAATTGCATTCAATAAATACATGGATACAATACATACATATATATATATATATATATTAATATATAAAATGATATATTACCAAACGAACTTGTCTACTTTGAATATTTTTATCTTTTCCACAAGCATCTATACAATTAGTAACAAACTTGTGTATAAGTTCTGGAGGAATTACTATTGAAGTAGTTAATCTATTAATAACTTCCATGGATGATCTCATTCGATTCATCACTTCTGCAGACGATTGAAGTGACATATTAATAGTTAAAAGTGTTTCCAAATATCTACCAAAAAATTTTTAGATTAATAATGACACTTATGGTTATTATTATTTTGAAACAAGAATTATTTAAGTAAAGAATTGTTTACATGTCAATCTGAGAAGATGATTTGAGCAATAATAATACTTCAACAGCAATCTTGGGATTGTTTTCAACTAAATTAGGAAGTTTTTCTGGTGAAAGTTCACAATCATAAATTAAATCAATACACTTTCCAAATTGATTCAAGACATACTATATTAATTATAATTCGATGGTTTAATTAATTAATTAATTAAATTCATTGAAATCCAAAAAATATATTATTGTCGTATCTTTTAAATTGTATGTAAACTGTAAACACAAACCTCCACTTCACGTATTGATAAAGCTGTTTGGAATGCTTTGTTCATTAATAACCCAATTCTTTTCTGATCCGATATTTCTTCATTCATCACATAGTCCCATTCGGCCTGTGTCTCATTTTCATCTGAACTGATATTTTGTGGCTAAATAAAAAAAAAAAGAGTATGATTTTTTTCAACAGTAAATTAAAAAATAATCTAATCTAAATCCGAGAACTTGACAAATATAAATTTTGTAAAATTACTTTATTATGTATGATTGGATTGTTTAAAGAAGAAGATGGGGATGTAATAGTAGTATAGGAGGAAGTGGAGGAGGAGGGTTCATGGAATTTTGTTGATTCAGGAATACTCCATGGCCATATTTGTTTGTTTTCATTCTGACTATTTGCCATACACATATATAAATTAATATTATAAATGTGTGTGTATATATATGTGTGTGTGTGTGTGTGTGTAAGTGTATATGTTAATATACCTTTCTAATTTTTCAATTCTTGATATTAATGATGATGGTAATTGTATTTCAAATTCACTTTTTATATGATTCTCAAAATTTGCAATATTTATCTCTTCTGCATTAATTATTGATAAATCTTCAACATTTGAAAATTGTTTATATACATCCATTGGTGTTTTATCTGCCAACTAAAGATTTTTTTTTTTTAGAAAAATTAAAAAAAAAAGAAAATAAAAAACAGGAAAAAGTTTTCACCTGATTTGCTTTATCCGATAAAATTAATGACTCAACTAGATATTCAACAAGTAAATCGCCATTTGATTTCACCAATGATAAATTGGAGGAATGTGATTTATAAAGATTTAGGAATAATAAAAGAAAGGGATTATCAAGTATAGGAACTATGTTGTATAAATTGTAGAGAATATAGAGTGCAACAACTCTTTGTTTTGCCTACATGAATTTTGTTTTAAAAAAAATATATCTTGTAAGAAAAATTATTTGTCTCCCTTCTTTGAAAAAAAAACCTCCAACAAACAAACCTGTAATTCACTACTTTCCAATAATGCCATCAATGTACATGCGGCTTGAAACCTATTCTGTTCAGGAACAAGGCCCTTGAAAGTAACCGCAATGTTTTCAAACGGTTGATCGACTACATAAAGAAGATTACAAAATGTTGAATTTTCTTCTGACATGTTTAATAAAAAATTAATATATGACAAACCAAATTTAGTAATAGTGCAGATCATGTTAGTATTTATTTTGTTTCTTTCTATTACTTTTTATATATATATTGTTGTCCATTATCATCGATCATTAAAAACTTATGCGCTCGATTTTCGCACGTATTTTTTTATTATTATTATGTCAATGCCTTAATTCTCTCGTGGTAGTAATGCGATTTTAAATCAACGGTTTCGAATTTTTTTAAATTTTTGGGGATTCTATATACATAATTTTTGATTGTTTTTTTTTTGAAATGACATAATCAAAAATTCTTTTATAGATTACATATTTATATTTGTATTTATATTAATAAATTGATTGATTTTCTGGTTTTCTATCGTTTTATTAAAAATGTCAAGATCGAACGATAATAATAATGAAAAGATAGAAGTTGATTTACAAACCAATTTACGGCGATTTGATGAACAATTTTCGAAAGAAGTTAAAGAAATTATTGATAAGATAATTCCTAATAAAATTCTTGAATTAAATCGATTGTTTCACCAAAAAGATTATTGTATGAACTTTACAAAAAATGATAATGATAAAAACGAAACCAATGATAATAATAACAGTAGCAACAGCGGTAATAATAAGAATCACGATAATAGTGAAGATCTTGACAATATTTATAACAAAGGTTATGTCAAAAATTCAAGGAAAAGACCCAGAAAAGATTCGATTGATAAATTTGAAGAGGAAATTGACCAAAGTCAAGAATCTATTATTCGAATGAGCCAAGAATCTGTAGATATAAATACATTTCCCAATAGTAAAAACATCATTAATATTAATGACAATACAATTTTTCAAGAAAAAAAATATTTGAGAATTAAAGAATTGCATGAATTATTGGAAAAAGAAGCGCATCATCTTTCGATATATTGTTGCAAGATTAGAGTTTGGATTACTTTGAAAATTCCAAGGTTTATCATACATATTATATAATTATGTAATAATAATAATTTAAATTTTGTTCAAAAAATTTTTTTTTTAGTTTCAAATGCAACAACAACAACGACAATGAATCGATTATATCTGCTATGCAAGATGGTAATTGTTATTGTAACTCTCGTTACATTTTTATAATATAATATAATATAATATAATTAATATATATAAATACTTAATATCTAATTTAAAGATATTACAACGGAAATATCTCGTATAGAAAATAATATTTTCATGTTTCTCGAGAGTATTACAAGGTTTTATACGACACGTGGAAAATTAAACAAGTAAATTAATAAGCAAATATATTCTCATTCTCTTTTTCGCTAATTAAATCATCAATATTCACATTTTTAAAGATCAATAGTTAATCATCCAACAATTTATGATTATCAACAATCAGTCAAACATCTTGAGACAGCACACTTTACAAGTTTGCGTCATTGTCTAGAAGATTTTTGCTACACGTATTTTTGGCTTTACAACACGATTCAAAGTCATCTCATTTATTAAATATTAACATTTGATCAGTTCGTAACCAATTGATTGGTCAGATTGTTTGCTTATTAATTGCATTTTGCTTGAATTTTTAATAAAAAAGCTTAGTCACTTCATGTTGTTTAAAAATGCACTACTTTATTTACCCTTAAATGGAAAACAAATAATTAATTAACAAAATTTAAAACGAATTATTTTAAAGTCAAATCACAACCACCTTACCAAATAATATTGTACACAACTTTTTAAATTACAGAAAATGTAATTTCATTGACACCTTTACACAATATAATATATTATCCATTGGATGGTTAAATTTTGTATGAGCGATGGAATGTTATTTATGGTATAAAATAATGTAATTAAATTATTTTAACGTCTTGGAAATATTTCTCTTTGAAAATTCACATGCAAATCTATATATCTACGACTATTCATATAGATCATTCTCAAAGTTTTTTTGAATTGTATATGTTGAATTTTTATTAAGCACGAAACACAAGGTCAAAGCGCTCTATTGATTTCAGCCTCACATGTCAAACATATGTAAGTAAATGCACTTCTTTCTTATTAGAACATCTTATACAAAAAGATGCTTTCATTACAAATCAATAGAACATTATCGTTTTAAAAGAAAGGTCCCAGTTCCTTTACCATTATAGTATCTCCTTTATTCCATTAATGTTAACTTTTATTATTTATTAAAAATGGTCCAGATCTCTATTCAAAAAAATTCTTTTACCTACTATGGTGATTGATAATTATCTATTATTAAACATTGACAAAAATTCATTCACTGGATGGTAAAAGTCACCCTATCACAAAGCATATTCTATTTTACTAAATTTAAATATTCATATTGTGTAAATAATTTATCCAATTTTATTATATAAAAATATATAAAAATAAATATTAGTGCCACAAAATTTTTTTGGGACTTTTGTTAAATTGAGTGTTTGGGGCGCGAAATTCCTTTTGATTGGCTAGCATAATTTTCAAATTTCACTAAAAAGAGGAAATTGCTTTTTTTAATTTCTTTAAAGGGAGTTGTATTAAATTCTAGAATCTCCTGCTAAATAAACCAGTAACAGACCTTCAGAGTACGAATAAAATTAAAAATTAAAAAATTAATCCGGTGGGTACAAATAAATAAATTAAATAAATATTATAAATATTAACCTTTTTTTTTTTAAACGATCAAATTAAATTACGTTAAAATTCCACCAAGAAATATAAAATATATTTTTTTTAAAATTCCATCTTTTTTAGCATATATGTCGCTTCCTTCTATCCAAAGAGTTTTTCTTGAATCTATTTCATCCGTTGATCGAGATGGGCATTTTGTGATTGTTGACGGTATTCAAACATTTTATAAACTATCAATTCCTCAAAATCAACATGGGTTACTTGAAGACAATGTTAATCATAACAAGCCTGTGATTGTGTGTCTTCATCAAGTATTTGGAAATCTTTACACTTGGAAACATCAGATGCAACCACTAGCAGATGCTACAGGCTGTCATGTTATAGCTTACGATAGACCTGCTTTTGGTTTTACTGAGAGAATAACTCAATGGGAAGAAGGAAAAAATCCATACACACAAGAAGCTGCTTGTGAATTTCTTTTGAAGTTCTTATCAAGTACTGGTTATGGTGGTAGGAGATTTGTATTTATGGGATCATCTGCTGGTGCTGCAATTTCTTCCTATGTTGCAATAAAATATCCACAAATTGTTTATGCTTTAATTTTAATTGCCCCATCTTTAAAAGCTGAAGATCAAGGTATTTTTTATTTTTTATTTATATTTAAAATTAATTTAACGGAATAATTACAAAAAATTTACTTTTATGGTTAGGTCCACCACCAATCTCGTGTACAATTTTAGGGACATTCCCTGGAAGATTGTTTCTTAAAGCAGCTTTATATAAAAACCTTCCAATGTTAACATTATATAATGATGTAAACACAATTAGCGATTGGGAAACTGTGGTTAAACCTTGTTATAGAACGCCGTTAACCCTGCCAAATTTTTACGAAGCAGCATCATACATAATGAGATACTTTATTCCACTTGAAATTCTACCACATAAACACATCCTACAAAGATTACCAATTTTATACATAACAGGAGAAAATGATAAATATACAAGTTTTGAAAACCATCAACAGATATTTGAAGATTTAAGATCGAATTCACCACCTAATGCCATATTACAATTTAAAGGGATAGCAGAATGTGGTCATCTTCCCCAGGATGAAAAACCTCAAGAAGTTTTAAGGTTATCAATAGAATTTTTGAGAAATCTTGGTCTTTGAACTTTATTATTATTCTAAATTAATTTAATTATGTAACTCGCGACGAAAACCTTTTCATTTATTCGTAATGTATTTTTAATCTTTTTTTAAGAAATTAAAGAAATTTTTATATTTATTGTTATGGTGGTGGTTGTAATAAGCAAAAAAAATTTAAGATATTCTGGTTTTTTGATTATTAAAAATAATGATAATAAAATTAAGTTTACATGTTTATTTAAGACCCTTGATACAATAATCGACTTTGGCTGGCTATAATAAATTCTTTTATGATAAAGTTACCTCCAAAATGTGTGCATTAGTTAACCCACCCTCACACCCTCACTCACCTTCCTATCCACCATAACTATCATTTGGTTTCTTAGATTAATCTGGCACCTCTTTTAATTAATAAAGTAAGATATTACTTTTTGATTGGTTAATCCTTCGTGATGTTTGTTTTTTACTTTATTCTGAATTTTTTTTGTAATGATGACAATCATAAGTTTTTTGATGTAACATTTAAAAATTTTTTTTTTTACAAATATAATAATAATATTAATATATATATCTCAAAAAAAAAAAAAAAATGTTTTCTACAACTATTCGTTGTGCTTTAAGAACAGTAGTTAATAAATCTTGTGCTGTTGTTGCAGCCTCCTCTCCACAAACACAACAACAATTAATGAAAAGATCTGTTAGAACTTTTTCTGCTCTTGGACCTCGTTTTAGTGAAGGTGTGTGTGTGTGTGTCTGCGCACGCGCACTTTTGCAATAGTACAATTTTTAATTGATTCCCTGGAATTAGACCCTTTAAAGGAGCATGCACATATATATATATTGTGGATATTACTGTTACAATTATCATCAATTGCAAACAAGTTATTAACAATTATTATTATTATTAATAGATCATGCACCAAAATTATTTGGTGAAGGTGCAAAACCTGGTACAGTTCCTTCAGAAGTTGAACAATCCACTGGTTTAGAACGTTTAGAAATACTTGCAAAATTAGATGGTGTAGATATATTTGATGACAACCCTTTGCCTGTTGCCAGTTTTGGTACAAAAACTAATCCTGTGATAGTGAAAGCCGTTGACACTCATCGTTTGGTTGCATGCACTGGTAATAATAGTAAAAAATTTTTAATACATATAATATGTATAATATTGTTTTTTCACCACTAAGTTATATATATATATATATATATATATATATAGGATTTCCTGTTGATTCTCATGAAGCTGTTTGGATATCTGTTGATAAAGATCATGAATTTGATCGATGCACCGAATGTGGTCAAGTTTTTAAATTGAAACAAGCTCATTTTGGTCCTCATGGATATGAATAATTTATTTGATTAATTGATTTATTATTATTGTTATTATTATTATTCAATACTTAATATTTGTATCCATTAATCTATTAAGAAAGAAACATTGTTTTGTTTAATGTAATTTTCAAAAGAAAAATACAAAAATGCAATTTTTTCGAAGCAAGGAGTTTATATATTATACTAAAATTAAACATTATTTTTATTAACCATCATTATCATTACATTAATTTTTATTCATCGTCATCTACTTCCTCGTCCTCGTCCTCAACATAAACATAAACATAATCATCATCATCATCACCATCACCATCATTGTCGTCGTCATCGTTAGCATCAACAAATTCTATAGACACAATTCCATTACGAATCACATAAATAATCATAAATAAAACAGCACCTATAATTGCTAAATTTCTTTTTCTTTCAAACTTTTTTTGTGCCTCTGATTTCTCAGGTTTATTAATACCGCTAGTAGTAGATGTTGTTGTTGTACTAGTAAACCAATTAGCGAACCATGAACGTGGAGATCTAAATGAACCGGTAGTAGTAGTAAAAATGGTTGATAAATCAATTTTTGGAATTGGCAATTTGTTTATTTTTTGATTATTTTCGGATAAATTTGATTTTACACGATCACAAAATTGTTGTAATCTTGGAAATTGAGTGGTTATGGTTGTGGATAGACTTTGGTTTTGTAGATCTGGATATAGTTGAGGCGCCAGATATCCATATAAAAAAACATCCAATGTAGATAAACTACATAGAGAACGCATATATGGAGAGAGAGAGAGAGAGCGTGTGTGTGCGTGCGTAAGTGAAGGAAACAAAAAAATCAATAGTTGATAATGAATTAATCAAAAATTCTTACTTATTTCCAAAAAAATAGTCATTTGAATCAATTTTATCTTGTAATACTTTATAACAATCTTTTATAATTTTATCCATCTATTACAAATAATTAAATACCTAATAATTATTATTCTTTTTTAAATAGTAAATCATATAATATTGAATCAATTAATAGATGTTCAAACCTTATCTTTGTTGTTAACGATTACACCGAAATCTCTAAAAGTTGCAACATTATACTTCTTTAATCTTTCTTTAGCATTTTTTCTTAATTGTCTTGATACGAAATAAGACATCGGGAACGAAACAAGTTTCGCGTATAATGGACGAATTTTGTCTGTATAATTTCTATCATCTGCATACCATGAGAATAACTATTTAAATTTGATACATACAAATAAATAAAACATTAGAGTGAAATACATACATATATATATATATTGGAGACTGTTTAATGAAAATTTTTTTAAGTATAGAATCATAATCAACAGCTTACCAAACAATCATATAATCTTTCTTGGATGAATGATAAGAAACTAAAAAAAAAAAAAATCAATTTTATTTTTTAATTTGATTATTATTCAATGATGCTTAACACAAAATAATAGTATTAATAGTAAAGATACTTACGCGATACTATCAGCCTTTTGTTTATCCGACAAATTTTCATCAGCATCATAACCCTTACATATTATATATTATATATATATATATATTTATGTATACATATTAAAATATTGTAAAAATAGAGATCTGTATTTTATAAATTAACATATTACCAACAAAAAAAAAGTGCACTGACTGGCAGCACTGCTACTAATCTATAAAAATAATGATATAATCAAACCTTTTTCTTTAAATATTTGATTATCTTATTTGTCCCAGATATCCACTCTAAACCATCTTTTAATAATGGTAATTCACCTACAAATATATATGTATAAATATGTGTGTTAATTGATTTTTTGAAGAAAAATTAATTAATTACCAGTTGGAGATATATTTGGATTATTGCATTCAACAACGCCCCATTCTTCTTGTACAAATAATTGTAAGTACGCAATGATACTTGAACATTTTGGATCAATCGAATTTAATCCTAAAGCTTCTCCCCAAGTATAAAGTTCCAACATTTTTTTTAAAAAAATGATCGATTGATTGATGAAAAATTTTTTGTGATTTGGTGATTATGTAACGGGCATATTGCAACAAAACCAAAGTCACGGGGATCAAAAATTGGTGACACCAGGGTTGGGAAATTTCTGGTTCCAATGAGAACTGAACACTGGAACACGAACAGTTTGGAAACCACTGAAACTGCTACACGAAACCACTGGAACCAATGAAAAATATGTGTAAATTTTATTTTTAATATCTATATTTACCTATAATAATGAAATAAATATGGGTAATGTTACCGCCACTATAGTCTTCTTTCTTTTGAGTCAAACTTTATGACAAAGCTTGAATGATGTCAATTTTTCACAATAATTATCTTTTTTTTTTTTTTTTGTACATGCCTCCAGATCATATGACCATTTCACCCTGTTCCCACAATTAATTATAATGCAAAAGGTTTTTTTTAAAAATGAGTAGTAGTCGTATAGGTTGAAAACTTTTGCATGTTTTGCAAATATGTTGTAACAAAAGGGGAGATAAAAGTAATTGTTTAGCTATCTGCAAAGTTTGCATACAAATAAAAGATGGGAATGGTCTTTACATAATGCTACACAATTAAAAATTTCTAATATCGTTCCGTCTATTGGTAAACACTTAATTAATTGTGAAAACTTTGCAACCATTAACCCAGATAAATTGGAATCAGTAAATTCACATTTAAAAGTGAAACAAAAAAGAATTGAATCAAGAACAAATAATAGTATAGAAGTTGAATTTGATGCTAATGTTGATTGTATGTATTTTATATTATCATTGGATTGATTGCAATAATTAATAATATTTTGTTTGTTTGTTTATGATCTTACAACAGAATTGGATGATAATTATGATAATCTGAAAGTTCTAATTCATTTGATATTTCACATTTAAATCCAAATACACCTCCTGATCAAAAGTATAGGGACACTTGCTCATACACTAATCAACAGAATGACTGGCTTATTCACTGATGTAGTTTAGATTATAGAGCAATCACAATTTGTAATCAACTATGACAAAATTGATCGGTCAAAAAATCAGATTTAGTCAAGTTAGCATACTAATCGTGGTTAGTATATATTTTTTGATGCACACATTTCACATAATCCACCATATCAGGCAAAAATCGATGTTTTAATAAAATAAAAACGCACAAATCTTTATAATTTTTACAGTTTATTATCATTATATAAAGATTGCGACTACTTCTGATATGCTTTATTGATAAAAATTAGTTTTGCATCCAGCTAGTAGTCCATGAAACAATTATTGCACCTTTTAATGCCATAAAATACATTTATTTGCTCAACGCAAAATTATTCATTTTGATTTTTCTTGTGAAGAGTTGGTAATCCTGAGATTGTATGCCGAGTCGCTATACGTGGCTCTTGAATAAGTTTATGACAATATTTGATCATTCGTATCTACAAAAAATGGTATGAATGTGATGAAGTAAAGAACCATAAACATCTCTTTGCAGGATTAAAACAACAGAACTTACTTTAAATTTCTTTACTATTTTGACAATATCTCCAACATGTAAAAGGTTCAATCCAGAGTCTGGTATGACAAAAGCATCATATTCATCAACAACATACATGTCACCAATCAAATGCATACTTAAAAACGAAACTCACGTCCTGTTCAAAATGATCAAGTTAATCTCGGTTTTTTGAATAAAAAATCATCAAGGCTTGTATAAACCACTTACCACAAAGCAACACAACAAATTATTGCAATTTCGAGGTATTCACATTAGATTGGTGTGCATACTGATACCAAAGAGATATCGTTATTGTTACGATTAAGAGAATAGAACTAGTTGGATGTCATGTTTCATCAAATGACTGGAATTACATATATACCTTTTAATAATTTCTCTAAATCATCATTTTTATCAGATGTTATAGTGTTAAATGCATTGTCCGCTACTTCGATAAATCCAACTCCAACCTTTACGCCACGTACATTCATGTATAGGATGCCATCGTGTTTATCTCCAAGTCTTTCACGTTCATTCTCTTGTTTGATGAAATTGCGTTGTTGTTTTCTTGAATCATTTTAAAATTCTCCTTAGTTTATTATTATTAATAATTAGGATTAGATTTGCAAATTTAGAAATGTCAACTTTTCAAAGAGGAACAGCTTACGTTTTTGTCCACAGAGCATCTTCAACATCGTAAAAAATTGATGCCAGAAGAATGTTAACGATTTCATCTCGATACTGATATTCGCTAGAACTACTATCTAACAAAGCACTATGTCTACGCAATAATTGGAGAACCCTGGTATAAGAAAATTCGGTTATTTCATTTAGCAGTCGCAACAATGTAAAAGAAACCTACCACAAACTTACATCCGTGTATAAAAATCCTGACACCAAAACAATTCGTAAGTTTTTCGATGCTCATATTAATATTTGCTAAATTGCTGTTTCGTAAACGGTGTTATAAGCGAATTAAGATCTTCATTTCCACTTTCTTTGATGATTCGGTGGTTATTGTCCACAAGTTTTTTTAATGAGCACTCGTTCTAACATTCTTCAATCTCTTTTTTACTAATAAATTCTTCAGCCTCATTGTTATTAAAAGAATGTTTTTATCAATTCATTGTTCATAACTCTCATCTAAGTACAAAAGATAAATTTACCTCTGACCATTTATTCTTTATCATGCACATCTGATCCATTGGTAATTTTTTAAAGAGTTGTTTCATGTAAGAAAATTCAACATTGAAAAGACAAATAATGTTATAATTTTCCAAGTGCGATTTTGTCTCTAAACTTTCCAGTAGCTGACCCAACTCACTCTTAGTTCCAATAAATGACATAAAAACACATTAACGGTATAGTGGAAACTAGGATTACCTCAATTCTCTGAGCACTAAATATATCTACTTCTTCCTGGACTCTCTCCACCAAGTCCTCATAATACAATCCACTATCAGATTCCGATTGATCACTCAAATCAATTGTAGTTTTGAGAGGGATGTGACTTCTGCTTCAAAGCTATTAATTCCACACCATAAAGAAAAGGTTAAATACACATTTCAATACATAATGTAAAATGAGTTTGATTGTATTACCAGTAGATACAGTGACTTCATTTACATCCACATTGCGTATATCCTCGATTTCTATTTTGGCCACACAATGTTCCTTATAGAATTGTCAGTAAGACTATTGTGATGTTTTATTCCTAAGTTTGTTTCAAACTCACCTTTAATGTTTGTAATGTGTTTGCTGATGTTACATTTTGACATACTGCTATATTGAATTCCTTTCTTTCATTTTTTAATTGAACTTCATCAATAAAATGTTTCACATCATCTGAAGAAAATGATTTATCATGGTTTGATAAAATTTTATTCGCCTTGTTTTTGGCATACACTTGTGTATTGCATCTTTTGCACAAACTCCATAGTACTGAATATGAATCAGTTTTGAGGATGTCAATTGTATCTCTAGATAATTCAGATTTTGATGCTGTATATTGCAAGATGACAATGATCAACCACTCCTTGTATGGTGTACTTTGAAGATAATCATTCACTATTGATTCAAACATCTTGGTAAAGATAAGAGGTATAATTAGTTGCAAAACATATGAAAGTCTCTACACATGACAAACTGACAGAAGAAACATGTAGTCAACGATATACTGGAAAACAGCATGTAGAGTAAGGCCTTAAGCAATGCATGCAAAAGGAAATTCCTAGAGACTGCTTCCAAATATCTGGCATAGGAAGTAATGGCCATATACCAGTAAGTATATACAACACAACCTGGACATTAACATGCAGGGTAATGCCTTAAGCAACGCATGCAAAAGGAAATTCCTAGAGATTAGTGCCAAGCATCTAATGCAGGAAGTATTGGCCATATGCTAGTAGGGATGTGTGTGACTAATAGCATGAAAATAAAATCATATACTTGCCTTCATGAAACATATTGACAATTTGACTGAAGTGACAAGAATTAATTGTTTTGGATCATATATATATTTTTTTTAATTGAAAAAAAGATCTATGTGTATTACAGTCAGGGATTATACCCTAAATGGAAATGGTTACATCTCAAAATTTGATTGGCTATTGAGAGTTTTTTAAAGTGATTTTCATTATAATTTTATGAGAATTTTTTTTAATTTTAGAAAAAAAAATAAAAGTCTTTGATAAGATGATAATGAATCTGATATTTGAAGTAACTTCAAAGAGCAAAAACAACAAGTGTATTGAACGTTCAACAACAATCTATAGTTATTATGAACCTTAATAATAATAATCAAATATTGAAAATGGAACTACAATTGGAAAATAAAAATTGTGAAATAACAGATTAAAAAAAAAAATTTAAATGGTTCTCATAATCAAACAATTAAAATTAATAAAAGTATATTCATCAGTCTCGACCATCTGAATAAACATTAACATACTTTTATTAACCCACAACCAGAACTATTTGCTAGTATTTGACATATTTGTCTGATTCTACTTAATTAGAATATGTTATCATTCTCCCACTACAATAACCAGTACATGACCTATTGGGTGTGCGACATTCTAAGAAAATCAAACTAATTAATGTCATATATTGATTGGTTATATGTGATTTTTTTTTGTAATCTGCATATCACTTACAGGATTTCCGAAATTTACATAATGAACATATTAAATATATTGTTTTCAAAACACAACTCCTCCTCCGTTTTCAAAGATATAGGCATTAAATTTCCATGAAAGGTAGTATATACATTATAATTTAGAGCCGTGGAAAGATCTAATAGATTAAAAATACCAGTGGCGTAAAAAAACTCATTCAAAATACAGAAAATTTATTTCTTTATTGTAATACTTCTATCTATTGCAACTTCCGAAAAAAATTGTATGAAATAAAGATTCTCTCTCCATAGTACTAATATTTTTTTTTATTCAAAATGGCTAGAAACCTGAAAAATTGCATAATCAAATAGTGATTAATAATAGTAATGTTAAGAGTTTTACACAAGTGTCCAACCATTTTTTGCAATCAAGATTTCCAAATGCGTATTTTTTTCGTCTTTGCGTCTTGCGTCACGAATTTCGTCTTGCGTCACGAATTGCGTCTTGCGTCAACGCGTCAAATTTATGATTGGTGACGCGCCTGACGCAATTTAATAATTTTGACCACATGTATATTAATATACAAAATCTGAATAGTTCTGACAAGAGTTTAATGTAAATTTGCAATCCATGCCAGTCACTTCCATCGCAAATATCCCATTCATTTATCCAGCAATTAATGGAGATTTTATTTTTGCTTTAATTAATTCTTGTTCGATCTCTAGCTTCACATTATCATTCTAACATGGGAAATTATCTTATTCAGATGTTTCTTGCATTGCCTATATAAATCTTCATACTAATGATTTTTATTCCAAAAGTGAATATAAATTATTCTCATTTACTGTCTAGGCAACTGAGCATTTATCAATATAAATATGGTTAATTTATATTCGACTGCATTTAAAACTCGTAAATATCATCTACAAAAATTTTTTGTTATGTCATAGGAAACTTTATATTTTTTAATTGTGGTGTGAAGTTTTGTCCATTCTCACATATTGTTGACGATTATAATTGCCTGGGATCCTGCTCCAGGCCACAAATTATGCTGGAAATTTACAAAGCTATTGACAGGCTCACAACATACTAGCCAGTGTTTTCAATGAAGTTATAATCTACGTTACATGAGCATATTGCGCAAAATAAGGTATGTTTTTCCGTCCTTCAATTAAGGAAATACAAAATCAATAAAAACTTCTTATAAGGGAAATATTGTGCATTGTGTATTAATTTTGACCTGATTATCGACACAAAACAAAAAAAAATTTCTTTCCTAAAGTTAGAATATTTTTAAAAAACGATCAAACTGTGTCATAATACTTGCTGCATTAAATTATAATAAGTAATTAAGTAGAGAGATATAACGTGGCAATGGTTGCCATTGATATTGATTGAATGTTTGCAAGGTAATAATGATCATGATATTGACATTGGTGATGATAGAATGTATATTTACGATGAAGATTATGACATTTTAGGTGTTGATGATGTTGATGACAAAGAGGAGGATTTGATAGATGATAAAGATGTCGTGTAGAGATATATGCATTAATTCTTTGCTAATTGCTGAGTCCTACTATATACAGCATTTATTTATTTATTTTTAAAAGTTTAAAGGTTGTTTTATTTGTAGTTAATTTTTAAAACATCGTATATTTTATT